AGCTTTGTCACCCTGCCTGGTACAGGGAACTGGCCCACAGAGCTAATAAAAGAAACTGTATCCTCTAAATCAGGGGGTTCCCAGTCCTGATAAATGGGGACACCCCCACCTGCTGGGCTTCACTGCAGCTGAGCTCTTGACTTGAACGTTCAAACCAATGCAAGTCTTTTTTTTTCCCCACTCCAGGTTGGGGACTTGGTTACTGAAGAAACACACAGGTTAAAAGGCAGCCTTGTGGAGACTCAGGAGTTCAAATGAAACCTGTCCAGGTCTGTCAAGGTTCAGTTGTTTGAGCGAGCTCTCAGGCGGGACAGACCCCAGCTTTAACCCCCTGAGCCCCCCGCAGTCAGAAAAGGCTGACCTCCAACAGCCTGCTTCTGGGGACGGGGGGCAGGAGCAGCCCCGCCCCAGCGAAACAAACCCCTCGCTCCTCTCAGACCGTTTCCTCCCGGCCCTGCAGTGGAAGCATGAAAGCCGACAGAGACCAGCGGGGCCAGCCGGGCGCAGAGAGCCACACCTGCACTCAGGCAACAGTGCTCCGCCCCCCCCGCACACGCGTGATCACAGAAACCACAGAGCCGGAGCAGTACAGCACACTGGTATTTATTGTACTCTCGGGGAAGAAAAAAAAATCAGGAATGGAAAAAGATGCCGGAGAGACAGGCTGGCATGGAGAGGTGGGGACGTAGTTCAACTCTACTGAGAGGCAAGTTGTGGCAAACTGGTGTCTCACAGAGGAAATGATATATAAATAAAAAAAAAGAAAAACAGGTGCGATTTATACAGTATCTCCGATCTAAAAGCGGTACAGGTGAGGAAGCGGACAGAAACAGCACTGGAAATGAATAAGAACTGCGCTCGAAGGGGAGGCCGAGGGTTCGAGTGAGGCCAGGGCACCGCAGGGAGAGGACCGTTCGCGCAGACCGGCCAGAGGGGCCAGAGGGGCCCGGGACACTGGCTCTGTCGAGGGGGTCTCCCGGGACCCTGCCCACCCAGACCAGACGAGAGGCTCCGCCACCCTCACAAGAGCTAAAAAAAAAACAAATTCGCCTCTGGGCAACATGGATTAATCCAAGAATCCTCGAGCGGTCTCGGCTTCATGCAGCGCGGAAATCTAGACATACCGTTAAAAAAAAAAAGCCTCATAAATTATTACATTCAATAAAGACATGCAATCAAAACAAAACAAAAATTAGACTTTATGACATAAAACACCATGGCTTGTGATGGCTTGAGGTGTTAATTCTCCCATTTCAGCTGAAAATATGATCTTTAGATACTGTTTTGTTTAATTCATCCAGCAATCTTATTCCGATTGCCTGTATGTACATTATATACACCGAGTCCATTTGCAATGGGCCTCACAGCGATGGCAGTTACAGTTTAAGCCTTTCCTTCTCCCCACTTTCCCTTAAAGTGACCTCTGATGGAAAAAGGTCTTAGTTTCTCTGAGACTCCCCTGGCCTGACTGCAGTCCCCAGGCACACCAAGGCTGAAGCCCCTTTTTAAAAAGATGTCAATGAGAGACGCATGGGCTGCTGAATGATTAAAAACAGTGTCAATCTCGGGCTCTCGCGGACTCCGCAGCAGACAGGACACCGGCTGTGGGCTCCGTCCCGGGACGCCGATCACCGCTGCTTCAGCAGCGCCCGGTACATGGCGAAGCCCAGCACGGCGAACACCGTGGCCCCCACACTCGCCCGCAGCCAGAACGTCGAGCTCTTCAGGTCCGCCTGGGTCACGTGCCTGCGACAGGGGGCAGAACAGA